GCGACGCAACCCAGAGAGTTGGATTTTTCGGGCCGAGTTGTTTTTACATACCTTGGCTTTGATGAGAATGACTGGCTTCCACTTCCTTCATTCTACCTTGATGGCGAAGCTCTTGCCTGGTTCAATAGCTTATTTTGCAACATGCTAATTTTGGATTGGAAGCATTTCAAGGGTAAATTTGCTCAGCGATTTTGACAACAAACCAACAATGATGTGGTGAGGCGTCTAGCTAATTCATTACATGTTCATTTTGACTGTGCTAATTCTGTCCATATAGTTTCACAATCAGTTGTATTGCCTCCTAGTCATTTTCCGGCCTCATCTGCCCTTGATTTTGCTTATGATACTGGTGGCAACTCAAAGGTGGACCAGGTGTTTGATAAATTGCCAGCGACGTATAAAAATGTGGATGCCTTGGCATTCATGGACTCACCTCATCTTGGGAATGCAAAGTCAGCTCAGTTGAGGTAGCGAATTTTGGTATCAACGCCTTTTTCCATTGTTGAAGACTTGAAGCTAAGGTGTTCGACGAAATTTCCCACACAACAGTGAGCTCTGAAATCAATGTTCTGAACACTATAGACCACGAGGGAGAAAACTTTGCAACTACAGTAGCCAAGGTGGTCGACCATAACTTCAGCGAAGACGTCAACTTGCAAACCAATGTGCCTACTGCGGTGTTAGTTCATACGAAAAAATCTAATATTGAGGGGAGGAGAATCCACGAGATAATGTCATTTTGTTTGTCAAATGTCCTAAATAGGATTCATCAGATTCTCTGGTTCCTTTTCCTACCCAATGTACCGTAATGTCAAAGGTGAGTTTGCGAATCGTTGCAATCGAATATTCATCTGGTGTCTTATGGCATTACACTATTCCTTGTTTGCATAATTCTCTTGAAGATATGTGTGAGGGTGAACAAACTAGAGTGACTTTAGTTTACATAATATCAATTGGGTTGATACTGGGTAGGAGTACAATCTTCCTAGTTTCTTGTTGTCTAACTTGACAAGGTGTGCTAATGAGGAGAAAATACAGGAAGTACTCCCGTCTAACTTGACAGGGTGTGCTAGTGAGGAGAAAATACAGGAAGTACGAAACAAAGATTTTTTTGTGCCTTCAATTCCCATTCACCAGGTAATTGTGTCCTCAACTTCACGGAGCCACTTAAAATCTTACACCTTCACTGGACTTTCACCGTGCTATATCTTGTGTGGCCTGCTGGTTTAATCTTTCTGTTGCTCTCTTTTGATGAACAAGGGAAGCGTGACGAGACTCCAAATCAAATCCAATGCTGAGAGAAAGGACAGCCTGGTGACTTCTACCCTTGCTCAAACAATGGTACGTAAAAGTTGTTTAATGTATTAGAAATCAGAATCTTCGCCTTCAATCTCTCTTCATCAATTTAGTTTCTTAAATGTATGCACTACTAGCATCACCCTATCATTTTCTTACTGTTGGTATCTATCTGTAGGTTACATCGGAGAATTTGAGTATGTCGATGATCATAGGTCTGGAAAGATTGTTGTCGAACTGAATGGAAGGCTAAACAAGTGTGGTGTCATTAGTCCTCGCTTCGATGTTGGAGTCAAGGAGATTGAAGGATGGACTGCTATATTGCTCCCTTCCCGACAGGTATTGTAATAAATATATTCACTTTGTTCCCTTGATCAATATATGGAACTCCATTTCTGGTTATCTCCAAATTGAGCCTTGCTTCTAGCTTCCGAAATGATTGTTGGGGTGAATGTCAAGTCATGGTCATATTAGCTTGTGAAATAGACATTATTAATTTTTGATTCCTTCTTTGCCGAATCATGAATTGGCTTGCTATATGGGAGTTTAACCAATGTGTTTCATTGTGAAATTTGAAAAAAGTAGTTTTGTTTCAAAGGGAGAAAATGATATTTGAAAATTATTGCTTCTTCTTAAGCAATAAAAATCTTGAGTACTTATCTGTAATGCTTACAAGACCCATCCATCCAAAGGAGCAAGCGCTCTTTGTAGATGCTAGCAGTTGAGGCTCTCCTGTAAAGGAAGCATTCCTGTCTATCCAAAGGAGAAATTTTGTGTCCTATGGCTTGGCTAACAGAGTCTCTGCTGTCCATGAGAAGTGTGTTTCTTTGTGGATTGATATGTAGTTGATACTTGATACTAAGCAAATGAAATTGCAGATATTTTCTGCGATCACAGATGTAGTATAAGTCTTAGTTGTTAGTCAGTTTTACTCTGTATATTATCTATTTTTATGTTTTGATGTTTACGTATTGACTTCAACTTGCACTTCAACTACCTCAGCTGATATCATGGACCATGAAGAGGCTAGGAGAAAGAATGTTGGTGGAAAAGTTCTTGGTTTCCTCATGTTGACAAGGATGAAAACTTTGGTTTTGCTGTTTGTTGGCTTGTTGTAACCGACCTTTTTCTGTTTTTCTCGTTGCTATCAAATTTATTGAAAATTTTGAGACAATTATCAGATTTTGTTGAAAAAACTTGCTGGTGCTTATTGCCTGTTGAGACAATTGACATCTAAAGTTTGTTGTAGATGTACATGTTTGTGTTTTTTTACTAGTATAAAAGGCAAGAGAAAGGTCTCTTTTCTTCTAGTCTTGTTAGTTTTTAGAGAGCAAGCATACATGTTAAATTTCTAGTGAGTTTGTGTTTATAATCCCATATTGTGTTCAAGTATAGCATTTGCGTAAACAGTGAATTCGATCAACTATTTGGTGTTTTGGGCTACAATCATCCCTGAAGTATAGCCCAACTATTCTTGTCTGTCATTATGGTCTTCAAAGAAGTATTGTATTTGTAAAGGGCAAATAGAAATAACCATGTTCAAGATCTGCTATGGCAATGTAAAATGTCCCCTACTTATTTGATATGAGGTCTGAAAGAGATTGCGGGCATATTGCATATAAATTTCCAAGTCTCATTTCCTTGTAAAGTAAATTTAGCAACTTATGAACTTTAATGTTCGGTTGTCTATATGTGGAATTAACTCATCGTTCTAATCCTTGTATTTTATTTGTATGGGTAGTTTTCCTGCTGGTGAAAGAGGTAAAGTTGTTGTGGAATATTGTTGAGAAACCTAGTGTTTTGTCATTCAACATATGCAGTTTGCCTTGTCTTCAAGTTGGAAACCTATTATTTTGTCATTCAACATATTATTTGCCTATGAAGGTGGGTGTCTTTTTCTCATTGCTAAGTAGCAGAAAAACTCACCATTTTAAAAATAAATAAATGAAAGCAACTGAATAACAAGGGGAAAAACTGGTAAACCAATAACAACAATTTAGTAAAACAGCACCTTATGTATTTTTTGTAGTCATTGCTCTCAATTAATTTTATCTAGTTATGTAGCTGACGTATGATTCAAACATTACCAATCTTCTATGCAAAACTAGTAGATTTATCTAAATAAGAGAAGTCTTCCGTTTCTATAAAAAAAAATTATATTTGATCAATGAAACAGAAAAAACAAAGATAGATATGAACGCAACAAGAATTAAAAAAAAAAAACTTCTAAAATCATATATAGAAAAATGTTAGTTGTAAGTTTATAACTTATAAGTAATATATAGGAAGCTCAAAATGATTTTACGCTGATGACCTTTGCATCTAATTTTTAATAACCTGCTCAAATTCAATCTAATTAACCCGTTTATTTGACTTCTATCTAAATTGAGAGAAAATCAATTAGGGATTTGGGGAAATCACATGCTTGACACATATTTTTATTTCAACTGTTAGTTTTTAACAAAAGTTAACATAAGGATGTTTATTGCAAAGTTTAGAATAATTAAAGGATGTTTTTTGTTTACAATTATACCATAAGGATGTACCATAAGTTTGAGCTATACTTGAGGTATGATTTTAGCCCAAAATGTAAAGATCACATCACAAAATTGACATAGTGAAAGAGAATTTTCTTAAGAGGTATTTGGTTATTAGGTCTTATATCTCAGTTGTTTAAACTAGAGGGAAATTTTTGAAGAGAAAATCAATTTTTTTTATGAGTAATTAATTTTGCTTCTTGAATTAAATATGTAACATAGGCTACTTATATTAGCAATATCTCATATAGACACGACAACTTATAATTTATACTATTTTTGTATAGTTTTTTTTGAATGTTTTAACTTTTAATTTTGAAGTATTACTTATTTGGTTCTTATTTTTTTATTTTTGCTTTTTCCTACTTATGGGTGTAATCAATATGATAGTGATAACAATAAAGTATAATTGTTTGTTTTCATACGAGGAGAAATTTTATTGTATTTAGTTTTTATTTTATTTCTCTTCTTTTTCCTAAAAAGTGATACCTTAATTGTCTTACATAATGTGATAAATATCTAAAATCAGTCATTCACTATTATTTATTTTTTGTAGTTATTGCTCTCAATTAATTTTATCTAGATATGTAGCTGACGTGTTATTCAAACATTATCAATCTTCTATGCAAAACTAGTAAATTTATCTAAATAAGAGAATTTTTTTGTTTCTATAAAAAAAAAATTATATTTGATCAATGAAACGAAAAAGCAAAGATAGATATGAGCACAACAAGAATTAAAAAAAAAAAACTTTTAAAATCATATATAGAAAAATGTAAGCTGTAAGTTTATAACTTATAAGTATTATATGCAGTTCAAAATGATTTTACGCTTATAGCCTTTGCGTCTAATTTTTAATAATCTGCTCTAATTCAATCTAGCTAACCCGTTTATTTGACTTCTATCCAAATTGAGAAGAATTAAAGTTTTGTGCATATGAATAGATAGAGCTCTATTCCCCTTTCTCCTCTATATATATTTCCCCATTTCATTTTTTAGTGAAATGTGTGAGACAAATGTTCCTTCTTTTAATCTATCATAAAGATTCTAAATTGACTCCAGAATAATTACATTCTTCAAAAGATAGGACCCTTCTTCATCTTTTTCTCAAAAATTTCGACTCCTATAACTCTTTAGACAAGAAAAATGACATTCCAAAAATAGGCCATGAAAGCCAACATTACCACTGTTCATGTCACTTTCGTTGTCCATCACATTACTCAGGCTTTTCCTTTTTCAAAGCCTCATGCCTATATTTCCATCATTTTAGGTATATAAATTAAATAATATTCGAATAATTTAATTTTAAGTAATTTCTTTCAAAATTTCAAGTCTTTTACTAACATTTAATTCTTCACAATTTCGCCAGGTGAATGGTCGAAGAAGGATGTCAAGGAGGTCTTCCATGAATATATTAACTCAGGCGGTGATATAAAATCGGACGCTTTCACTATCAATGGACAACGTAATGATTTCTACCCTTATTCAAACAATGGTATGTATAAGTCCTCCAGTTCAATTTATTTATATCAAACTTAATTAATCTATTAAAAATCAAAATCTTCATATTCGATCTCTTTTGAGCATTTTAAGGGCTAATTAGACTTTTATAATAAAAGAAAAATGTATTAACTGTTACTAGGTTGTAATTGTATTGAAATTTAAAAAAGAATTTTTTTTTTAATTTGTCAACGAATTTCACTTGGATCAGTTGTAGCCTTGTATAATTTGAAAACAAACTCATGTGTTATGTGTTAATTATTCCTCATCGACTAAATGTTAATGGATTTATAAGATAAATTAGTTCTCCTATCTATAAGATTAGTTTTTTAGGTTAGACTCTTTTGTTTGATTTCTAACATTGCTTTTTTTATTTTATTCTGTTCATATGGGCCAACAAGATTTTACTTATTATTTTCTCGAGTTATTTGTTGAACTCATTTTAATGTTTTTTTATTAATTAAATTGGACAGGAACATTTAGGATAGTAGTGGATACTGGGAAGAAATATCTTCTCAGAATTGTGAACGCTGCAATCCGTAAAAAATTTTACTTTGGGATTACAAGGCACAACTTAACTGTAATTGCGATGGATGGAAGTCCTATAACAAAACCATTTACAACAGACTACGTCAAATTGAGTGTAGAATACTCGATTGACTGCATATTCGAGGCGAACCAATATCCAGATTATTATTATTATTATATAGTTGTTGTAACGAATATTAGCGAGACGTATGACACGAATAAAATTACAACCGTCATTATAGAATACCAAGGGAATTACATACCCTCTTCACCACCTCTTCTTCCCAACTTTTCCTCCAACTACGATAAAAGTTCTAGTAGGAATTATTTATATGTAATAATGACTTTTGTAATTTTGGGTTTATTTTTTTGTACGACATTCGTTGTTTGGTATAGGCAGACTAATAGGCCTCATAGAAGCGCAATGGTCACTCCCATGTAAATTGTAGTACTTATAATAAAATTTTATATTTATGCTTGTATTTGAAATTACAAATTGTACCTCCAACAACATGTCAACATCGTCTATGTAATTTGTATGTTGTGTATATATGTAAACTTATGTCCAGCGATACATAAGATATGCAATCACATACACTCAATCGACATATACACATTTTCTCGTATAGTGAATCGAATTAAGGTTCAGGATACTAAATGAATGGTAATTGTTGGGTTTAAATGAGGATTAATTCCATGAAAAGAAAAAAAGTCCAGTTTGTTGGACAATTTTCAAATACTTTCACAGTAACTAGGATAGATATTTCGTATTCCAAAAGTAGCATTCGATTCGAGTGTAAATAAATAAATAAAAAGAGGTACTCCTAGATAGGACGAATTAGTGAGGTAAAAAAAATAGTTTTGCAAAATTGGAGCTAAAAAATAATGGCATAGATGAGCCAATTTTTTAACAGATGACATAAATGCATATATTTTCAAAGTTCGATGAGCTTTTTCCCTTTTCTATTTAACTTTTTGTTTGTAGGGATATTCTTATATAAGGATCCGTTTTATTTAGAAAATAGACAGATTTTAAATATCCCTCTCACTCTAGTATTATCTAATAATACTAAGGGAAGATCATAATCCAATATATGTTTGATGTTCTGTAGGAATACCCGTCATGATCAATGAAGACGTCTAGAATTGTTATAAATATGTAATGAACGAATTCTTGCCAAAATTATTGACTCATAAAATGCATCAGGTGATAATATATAGAGAAACTTTCGCAAATAGCTACTATAATAAATTTAATTATGTTTCATAGTTATAGTTTGCATATTTATGGACTGTAGCTACAGTTTAAGCTGTCTCGTTTGTATAATTCATGGATTGTATAATTTGCGGGTACATTTGTATAATTCAGTTATTTTTTGTATAAACTCAAAAGAACGAATTTTATACAATTACAAACATCAGAAGTGTAAACAGTTATACAATTATATTATATAAATTCCGAATTATACAAAAGTTATACAAATTATATTATACAAATGTGTGAATTACACAAAACAAAAAAGTTGAGCCGCGTAATTATAACTAAAAGTAGGTTGTGAACTGTAATTAAGACAAACTATAATTATGTTAAGTAATTAACTAGTATATGTTGGCTTATACGCGTAATTTTTCCAAATATTAATTATATTATTTTTCATTAGTATATACAACAGGTACATAGCAAATCATAATATTAACCAAAAGAAAGAAGTTACAAATTATTAATAATATTATAATGAAAATAAAAATAACTTAACACACCAAATCAAATAATTTTATAACATAACCCCTCTTTTGCAATTTGCTTCACTTTTTTTTCCCTATTCTATAAATAGAAAAAGTAGAAAAAAAGAAGTAGCTTTGCTTTACTCAATCCCCATATCTCTCAGGTGAGGTAACTAACCGAACACTCACCGTTTGTTCCGGTTACCCGGTCAACCTTTTCTCCCAGATCTCTCTCTCTATCGGTATATTCAAAATCATTCTCAATTATTCTTCTACTATTGCTTTTTACAATCCAGCTCTGCATTCCTGTCGGCTTTTACGAAAAATTATCGGCGACGGCAGTATGACATCGACGGCCGATGAATTCTCTAAGCTTAACATTAGTGCCGATTGGGCTTCTACTGCTCCCAATTTACACAAAAACCTATCTCTTCTCTCCTCTCAACAGGTTTTTTTCTATAAAGGATTTAACTTTGTACAATGTCTGTCTTGTTTTATTGTCATTCTGTGTGAAATTAAACGAATTGATATTGTTTTGTTGTTTTTCTGTTTGGAATTAAATTGAGAGAATGAGAGTGATGTGTGTGTAATTTTAGGTAGAATTGGCGAAAGTGTTGATAGAGATGGGGCAAAGTCACTTGTTTCAGCATTGGGCGGAACCTGGAGTTGATGATGATGAGAAGCGAGCATTCTTTGATCAGGTTTTCTTTTTTTGTTTTTCGGATATGTTTTTTTAATGAATTGGCTAAACTGGCTAGACTATGATCGACTTTTATTTTTTAACCAAATAATCAGACCCACATAATTATACTTCTCTGTTCTGGACTTTTACTTTCATGTTGTTGAATATGTAATGTATCCCCAAATATAAGAGGAGTGATTTCCTCCTCAGCAGTGTTATCAAAGGTGAAAAGCGCAATAAAGCTCTAAGGTCCGTGGAGGCTTTAAGCGCAAAGCGCAAATAAAGCGTGGGCTTTAATGAAAAAAGGCGTAAAGGGAGAAAAAAATACAAATATATATGTTTAGTCCAAGATTAATAATTATAAACATGAATGAAAAATATATGACCAATGAAATTGAATTTATTTTTATTATAAAGTAAAATATCAATTGTTTAATGTCAATTCTTCATAAGAGGTTCATTGGCAAGGAAAAGTTTGTCTTAGAACCTTGATGACGACACTGAAGCGCACATAAAGCGAGGCGAAGCGCTCAACACATTTTGAGCCTCGCTTCAGGGCTTAAGCGCGCTTAAAGTGCGCCTTTGATAACACTTCTCCTCAGTAGTTGGAGTGAGAATATTAATAATGAAGAACCCATAAACCCAAAACAGAGTCTATGTTGGTGGTCAGTATTACCTGGTGGATTTCGGATTACAGGCAACATGTCAAATTGGTATTGCAAATATGGTGCTTAGGCAACTCTCCACCTAGGATAATCATTCGTCTCTTCCTGGAACCAAACCAACATGGACGATTTTTCCATTAATGTCCCTGATATCTCCTATGATGTCTATGACTAGACCAGGATTGGGATATTGAGATCTCGGTGTTCCTTTTAGATGGAAATATAGCATGTCACCCAGAGAGCAATAGGTCAAGTCAGGACAGGAGACAGGCATTGAATTGTGTTTTTTTTTCCTGTTAAATAATTCACTGACCAGCTAGGATTTTCAACTGAATTTGAACAGCGCAAACAATTTTGAACTCCCATTAGGTAGTTGTGGTAACTTACATGGTGAATTTCGCCATTTCAGGATGATAAGGTTTTGGTTCGCAGTTCAGCAAATAAAAACTTGATCTTGTTTGTCTTTTGTAGTTAATAGACTATGTGGCAATTTATGTGAAGTATTTATTCTTGATTAATTAGTCAAGCGATAAAGTAGCCTAAATAGAGTTTTATTGTCTTTGTTGAATATTGTACAGCTGTTTATCATGTCAGTCTTGTAATGCCGGAAATGTTATCATTTCCTTTTGGGCTTGTTTCCATGTGTTCTATGCTTGTATTCACTTCTAGTTCAATTTAATATTTATGAACACTGAGGTGTTATTGTCTGTTTCAGATTGCTAAACTTAATTCAAGTTATCCTGGGGGGTTGACAGCATACATTAACACTGCTAGGAAGCTTTTAGCTGATTCAAAGACTGGAAAAAACCCGTATGATGGCTTTACACCTTCGGTAAGTAACTGAATCCTGTGTTACTGCTTCAGCAAAACTTATTTCACTAATTATCATTCTGTAAAAAGCAAGTTTAACTATAACTTTTTTCATCAAGAAGCACACAGCTCAAGTTGTGTTTTTATCTAAGTTATTGGATTGGATGAATGTCTTAAAGTTGCAGTCGGGTTTTTAGGTCTGTTAGAAATTAGTGCTGGTGCTGCTTATAAAAGAAAAGCCATCCTTCACAAATCTTATGAATACTGTTCATGCAGCTACTTTTCTCCTGTACTATTCATGCTACAGTAAACTATTCTTTAGATGGAGTGTGAGAAAAATATGAAACCACTTAAATGCTTCTAAGGTACAACTTCAGCAGATAGTAGTGGTTAATGTTACATTAGTAGAAGATTCCAAAACTACCTTATTCACTTTGGTTAGGTTGCCATGTCTATTGGTCCTATGCACAAATTGAAATGCATAGTTTAGCAGATTTTGGCTATTTTTAGGTGCTTTAACCCTTTGTTGAAGGTCAAACTAATGAGGTCATGCTTTTCAATCCCAAACTGATTAATTCTTTTTCCATTTCAGGATATTGTGATATATCTCTCCTAATTCAAAATTGGAACTTTTTATTTCAAACTAATTTTTTTCTGTAATATTCTTTTATGTGGACTTGTGAAATTGAGATGATGTCATTTCATTTTTTATGTAAAAATTGCATAAGACTTGTTATCCAACTATTCGTTGTTGAAGTGCTAACTCTGACTCGGTTTCATGAAGCAGAAGTTTCCATTCTGAGTCAAAAGAAAACCATGCTCACAGTTTTTAAATGGATAGAAGTGAGGGTGGATAGTGTGTAGCCAATCTTAGCTTTGTGATTTGAGATTATCAAGTCTTTTGGACTTAAATTTCCTCTCAGCATACTTCTTGGTAACTTGTTATAAAAAATCTTTGACTACTGATGGTTTTTTGGACAGCCTTAGGTTCTGATCAAAAACCATTTTGATCTCTAGCATTCTGGATAAACTTGCAACACGTTTCCTTGTGTTTCTTGTGAAATATGATAGCTGATGCGCGATGTGGTCAGATTTTAATTACATTTTTCTTGCTCAATCCTCTGATCACCTTGAAAATTTGGAAAATAATGGATCATCTTATTAATACTTATATAACATGCACTTAAAATGTAGAACACATTGATGCTCTGCTCTAGATTAGTGATGCATTCTAAGATGGATGTAAACTTCTGCAGGTCCCATCTGGAGAGGTTCTGAAGTATGGTGACGATAATTTTGTTCAATTTGAGGAGGCTGGCATCAAAGACTCACGGAAGGCTGCATTTGTTCTTGTTGCTGGAGGCCTTGGAGAGCGTCTTGGGTACAATGGAATAAAGGTAGAACACATAAAGCTTTCATGTGGTTGGTTTAGAAATTGTTTTGATTTTTGTCTTCATTAGGCAAAATGTGCAGAATCTTTTGCGACTTGATTGATAGTTGTAGTCTTTCAATTCACCATGTAACTACTAATCTAAGGATTTGTGGCTGCATAAGATTGAT